AGGTCCCTTCCAACCCAAAGCATTCTATGATTCTATGGTCTTCTTTTTTTGATGCACAGAACTGACATGTGGAGTTATGTTGAGGTTCTTGGCACCTTTATTGGCTGGAAAAACCTGCTGTTTGTTGATACGGTCATTGTCTAGCCAGTTCTGCCACCAAAGCTGACAGTCACTATATGCCAAAGTATAGAATGAATTCGTTCTTGAGATATGAAACACTTGAATTGCCATTTTCAGGAGAAGATAGTGATTATAGGTGTGAAAGGACATAGCCTGGGTAAGTTTTAAAGTATTTTAGATGTTTGGGTTTTTTAAACCAGATTATTGTTTTCCTGGGGAATAACTATCTGCTCAGTTCTGCCAGCAGAGGCAAGGATATGTTATCTTGAATTTCACTTGTCCTGAGAGTGGCACATCTGACCCTGCCCTAAGCTGACAAACCAAAGCAGGGTTTGGCACCTGGAAATTCATACTAGGCCTTCCCCAGCTGTATGTTGCAAGGTGTGAAAAGTTTATGACCACTAGACAGTGGTTACACAGGCTGAGGTGTACTACAGTAAAGGACCAAGGTCCAGAATTTTAAGCTGTTCCACTAGATTTCCTGAAAGCCTTTGGTCTGGATGTTTTTTAAGCATTTCACATGTAAAATGAGATGTTGTTTTGACTTAAATATAGGTAATGAAATGAGTCTGTATACCCTTCATGTTTAGTTTGTTTTGTTACTGTGTTTTAGAAATTTAGTAACCTGAGGTATGTTGATAGTTTAGAAGCAGTTTTTCCAAGTGTCCTTTCTAGCCCAGTGCTATTGAGCTCTGTACTTGCCAGTGAATATACTTTCCTTTAAAAAACTGCAGAGGTTCTAAAGAAACAGCCTTTAGAAATAGCAGACATTTGTACTATGTTAATACATAGATGCCATGGAAACTTAAGAGTTTCATAACTGTTTTCATGATTTGTACAAGTTATTGTATTATCTACCTAAGTAGAACCCATGTAGATGTTTGAGCAGTGAAAGCTGCCAGCTGGCTTTGGCATTTCAGGACACCACATTTCCTGGAAATGTTACTTCTAGTTTAATGAAAGAAATATCCTGGGATGAAAGAGGAGACCAAAAAGGTCTTGCTATATAAGCCAAGTGAGATGTTGGCAGCTGATATAAAGCCTCTAAAATTTCTGGATGCTGAGCTGCTCTGCCTGATCATCCAGCCAGCAGCAAGAGCCAAGTGCAAGTGCTGATGATTTCAACTTGCAGATGCAGCCTGATTGCACCAAGTCACTATTCCAGTAACCCTGCCACTCAGTGGGTCTGTTCCTGTTAGTTCCTGCTGATGGACCAGCCTTCAACTTGCATCATCTTTGTTTAATGGAAGATCTGCATGAGGGCTTGAGTCTGAAGGCTCCTGGGAGTTTCCAGTACTTCTGATGTCAGTAAGGCTGAAAACAAAACCAACTTTTGTTGTGTAGACTACTTTCAAGAATGGCCTACTGCATCTACCATGTTTCCCGGAAGACGCAACAGTTCATATCAGTCAGTTACCAATCAATGGTTGATGTATCTACCAGTGGCTTGATATTTGTCTGTAGCTCATAAGATACATAAGTTTGTAAGGTACATAAAGCTGAAGATACATAAGCTCATAAGACAAGGGACAACCAGTCCCACTCCTCCTGGAAAGTTCAGAGCTGCTGTGAAAACGTTCAGTGAAACCTGTGAAAATCCTGGATTGTGATGAATTGAACTGGTTGCAGATTATTTTCCACTTCTGCCTTTGAGCTCTTTAAAGACTACAGAGATGCTCTAATGAACTATCACCCTGGGCACCTGAAGTTTTGTCAAGCCCAAACAGGGCACAACAGAAAGATAAATCCATGTGTGTCCCATCTCACAGTCACAAGACAGGCTGGAATCACAGGTATTGACTATCATGGTACTACGAGTTGCAGCCCTGTGACTTGCAGGATCTGCAGTTTAGGGAACAACTGAACTTGCAATCAAGAAATCAAATGCAGTTTCACACGGGTGGCTCAATGCTTAGGTAGTGATCATCAACTAGGAAAATCATCTAGTGATTAGATCAGACAACTGAATATAGAAAGGCTTAATAAATAAAGTAAGTTTGGAATCCTGATAAAGTTTTACCAGAAGATGCACTTTCACAGAACGTAAAGGTTTATATGGGAAAATAAACTGCAGGGGAAGCAGTTGGGAAACTTAAAGACTCAAAATTGTTAGGACATCTGGTTCTAACCTTTTGGCACAACTTTGTGGTTTTGATTTGAAATATTACTGGTAATTTGCAGTAATGAAACTATAAAACAGTTGATACAAAATATTTTGACCGATCCAAATCAACATATTTGGGATATGAGAGACTGAGAGACTACCCTGATAAAGGTAGAAAATTTGAGGACGTGAAGCTTTTCTCAGGATGGCAAGGTTGTTACCAGTAGAACTGAGCAGGGAACTTGGAAGAGAGTTGCATACTTTATAGATTGGAAATTGCTGCACTTGGAAATTGGTCTATAGCTGCTGAAAATCCACTTGGTCTGCAAACTACCCAATCCAAAGCTTAGTTTCCCAGATCATAGAGCTGAACTAAATTACTCACACTGAAATGGGCCTTTTATCCCATGAGATCTTTCACTCTAGGAACCGTGGTATTTATTTCCAAGTTTGCTGAGTAACTTTTGTGGATTACATCTTATTTGGGAAAGTGGAAAGGGAAAATGTTAGGCTGATATGTTCAAAGAAGCACTGCAGGAAGGGGAACTTGAGGCCATAAACTTTATTAGAAACTGGACAGGCACCATGAATTTTCTGCGGACATCTAATCTTTATTCTGCAATGTGCAGTGAGCTCTCTCTCTTATACCTGCATCTAGTAATCGTAGTTGTAACAGCTTTTGTCAGACACTTCATCGGACAAGGGATTTCATTCTTCTAGGAGAGCATCAGCTCCTACGGCTAAGACTTTAAAGCATCGACTAGCTCATGCATTGCTCCAGCCTCATTGCTCTAGAGCCGAATTGTGATGACGTCTTCTCTCCAAGTAAGTTGATTCATCATCCTAGAACTTTTTAATGACAGGTGATACAATAACTAAGGGTGTAGCTTGATGAGTAATTTCCTGGCAGTAGTACCAATGTAAGCACTTGCTGTTCTCCCATACACAGACACTTGTATGCACATGCTTGCTTCTACCCCTTTCATTGTGCAACCTCATGGCAAACCTGTATGGGGAATTGCTCTAACAGAAAATAACTCAATTGCAGGATCATTGTCCAGATCAGGCTTACTGTGTGACTATACAAATGTGCGTGCCAGCACAACACGTGGGACAGTAACAGCTTAGGCAGCACTGCTGAGTGTAGCAATGGTCTAAACTTGCAGGTACTTACAATACTAGGTAGAATGGTTGTTGCATGGTTCCCACTACTAACTGAGCTTCAAACCAAGAACAACAGTGATTCCTGTGCTTTACAGCAAATCTAGTGCTCATAAAGCTCTGAGGCATTATGGTAATGCTAGGGAAGAACAGTAAAGGATGTTGGGTCTGGAAGCATGCTAGATGTTGACCACTGGCATTCTTAAGAAAGCCCATTCACAGAAATCCTGGATTTAGTATAAATAATCTGAGTGCAGCTTCTCACCTTGCCACAGTAAAAAATGTCTTCTCGCTTGATCCTTCCTTCAGCAATCTTCTCCCGGATGGCTTGTCCCACTTCATGCTCATTGTAGTAGACAAAGGCACCGTCAATATGGCGGTAACCAGCATCAATGGCAATCTTCACTGACTCCAAACAGGAACCTTTGGGAGTCTAAAGGGAGAAGAAAAAGAATAAACATAGTTCCAGCCTCCTGCTTGCCTCTCTTGCAATGCTATAGAGTCCCTGGGATATGCACAAGTTTCATGCTGGAGTTCATCCAGTCTAACCATCCCTTACCTCCCCAGATACCTGTGTTTCAAGTTCTGAATAAAAATGCGCTGTGCACTTTTCTTCAAAACTCTTGTGAATGTGGAATTAGACTGGAAAAGAGAGCAAAGCAAAAAAATTCTCTATGTGTTTGGGAAAGAGAGAATACTAGAGTCCTCAGAAAGTAGAATTAAATGTATTTGATAAGAAATTCTGAAATAATTTTCATATCTAGAGAGCAAGGGCATTCCCACAACAGCCATTTGATAAAATCCCTTACTCAAGCGGAAGAGGGA